GGACTCCGGACCCTCGGATTTCTGAAGGGAAGTGAAAGGGAGCTGACATCACCTGTTTACCTACAGTATGCCTGGCACCAGGCCATACAATATTCATGACGCACTGGTGAAGTAAACATCACCTCTGTGTGATTTATACCAGGAAACTGAGGCTCCAAGGGATAAAAGTACCTTTTCCTAAAGTCACATGACTGGTAACAGACCATCCCCCACCCCCCACTGGCCAAGGCAGCCTCACCCACAGTTCCTGCTCCTCCATGAGTGTCTCCCGGAGAGGGGGTGCATCAGAACCTACAGAGGTGGGGTCCTGCAATCTTGATTTTTAAAAAGCCCCTCACATGCTTGCCCTGGCCAGCCAAGATTGGAAACTTCCACCCCTGCACTGTTTGGCTTTCCTGAAGGACTTTAGTACAGCAGTTGGAGCAAAAAGAGAGAGTAGGTACCCACCTTTGGAACCTTACCTTTGCAAGATTTACAGACTCTTAACTGGAGAAGAAACTTTGAGCTGTGTTAACTGGCTTTCTGGCTGTGATGCTTGGAATGACTCATTGAAATTGTCTGAGCCTCAGTTTCCTTGTCTGTAAAATGGGGAGCCCAGGACTTACCGGGCAGGACTACTGAAGGATTGGGGATATTACAGTAATGACTTAGCTTAATGCCTGGCTTAGCTCACCACTGGATAAATGGTAGCCATGAACACTATTTGCTGCATCGTCAGACTTTTTGAGGTTATTGGGAGGGACAGGGAGCCCCTCTGTGGCCCACTCACCCACCGCAAAGCCCCTCATTGGCACAGCCTGTTCATAGGAAGAGCAGGCTGCCGGGTGGGCTTCCTCCTCCTGGGAAAGCCTCGTGTCCCCGCAGGCCACTGAGCTCTGGTCCTGGGTGCTGAGGCTCAGACACGTGGGGACGCTCTCTGCTTTTCAGCCAGTGAGCCTGCCCCGCTTCCCGGGCTGGCCCGGGGGCAGGCTGGGCAGGGGAAGCTGGCAGGGGGAGCTGGCCTCGCGCTGAGGAGGCTGGCCCTGCGCCCTGCTCCTCTCCCAGCTGGGCGACCAGGCCGGGCAGCAGCTTGGACTAGCTCGAAGGCCCAGCAGGGGCCTCGGTGGGGCAGCAGCCTCCCCGAGCCCCTGTGCTAGCACCAGGCCATCTGGTGCCTCCGTCCCCTTTTGTGTGCCAGGGTAGGGGGAGTGGAGAGGGGGAGGCAACAGGGAGGAGACAGATTTCTCTGGCCAGCTTTCTTCAGAACTGAAGAGAAAGGCTCTGGGTGGAGTAGAGATGGAAAGGAGAGTAGGCTCAGGCCTCGAGGACAGAGGGAGACCGAGGCCTGCCAGGGGGTGGGGGGCAGGGAAGAAAGCACAGAAGGAATGGGTGCTCCTGGGCTCTTGGTGGGAAGGGAAAAGGGGAAGAGAGAGCGGGAAAGACAAAGCTGTGTGGAGAGGAAGACCTGAATGGGGTGGAAGTGGGAATGAAAGCAGAAAAGAGTGAAGGCCTGAGTAGGAAAAGGTATGCGAAGTGTCTCCAACTCCAACATGTGAAGCTGTGTATTTATGTTCTGGGAAAGAGGAAGTGAGAGCGTGTGGGCTGTAGGTGCAGGGAGGGGGTGGTGAGAGAGCAGGCTGGTTTCCGGTCACAGCAGCCTGGGGTCCAGCCCAGCCCTGCCCAGCCGCTGTGAAGCTTGGGTCCCAGTCAGAGCTGCCACCACCCGCAGACTTTCAGAAAAGAGTGTGGTGGTTGGTTTCTAGGGCTGGGGAGAAAAGCCGTGTTGACAGGTACGCGCTTAGAGGTGGTGCACTTGGGGAGTAGAAGTGGGCATTCCTGAGGCTGTTAGCGAAGTGACTTTAAAGAATTTCACATGTGGGGATTTATAGTGGCTCTGAGGGAACTGTCCCCTGTCAGGTGGCAGAATATCCCCCCTCCCCCAGGCAGGCCCCCAGGCAGCAGGGCAGACACAAAATAACAACACTGAGTCTGCTGCTTTGTGCTTCTCTGGTTGGTGTTCCTTTGGGTTCACGCTCCGTACTCGGTGACTTCACGAAGGTCACACAGAATGATCTGTTTTCTCTGCTGGGGACAATACAAACTGGCCCTGGGTTGGAAGCATCGCTCCCCTGGCACCTTTCCCGTCAGACTCCATCCCTGGAGCCCTCTCAGAATTCCGTTCTCGCGTCCCTTCCTGGGCTCCTTCCAGGCAGCGCTGCCTCCCCCAGCCCCGGGACCCTGAGATGTGACCTCCTTCTCTCCCAGAAATCTGTCCTGTCATCTACGTGAGGCCCTATCAGCATCTGTCTCCCCATCCCATTTGGAAAGTGGGACTAATCACCATCACCTTCCTTGAAGCGGGAAGTCTGCACGGAGCTAATTCATGACTGAGGCACTGGGAGAGCATATTAGGCAGCGACAAAGCTAAGTGTGATTGATTTAGTGCAAACAGGTCCATTTAGCATCAGCCAGCATGTGATGGTTTTTTTCTCCCCATTAAAGTCACTTGAAGATCACCAGTTGGCAGCGCTGGAAGCACTTTGCAGCTCTGGGGGTGGTGGGGGTACCCCAAGTGGATGTGCATGTCGTGGAGCTGGCCCTGTGGGTGCAGTTCAGGGCTGTGAGGAGCAGGGTGGGAGCACTCACAGCCAGGGAGGCTGGTGCAACCCGAGGAAGGCCAGGCTTGGCTGTAGCTTGGAAAGCCCCCAGCCAGGAGGTCACCAGATGTGGCCAATGGACAGCTGAAGGGAGCAGGGCTCGATGGGAGATGCCCATTCACGCGTGTCATGCCGGTCCAGCTGAGCCCCATGAAGAAAGGATAGAAGTGACTGCATCCACCACTGTTTATTGAGTGCCTAGAATGCATTGTCACAATTAGGCTGTGCTGTCTTTGCAGCAACTCTGAAGGTGTTGCTAAGGGCCTCTCCCACCATCACTTAGCTAGTAAAGGGCAAAGCCACTGGTCAAGTTGTGGTCGCAGGACAACAGAGGCTGAGTGCCCCCAGTGAGCTGCCCTGCCGCCGGGAAGGAGGGCCTGGAGGGGCTTCGTGGAGAGGGCTTTTGAAATGGCCCCAAAGGATGAGCAGGACTTAAGACATTTGGGAGGGTGATGCTTCTAGAATTTAAATGGAGAAGAGAGCAGGCCCCGAAGCACAGGGTGCGTCTGGGAATTTGGGCAGAGTGCCAACTATGGAGAGGCGCTGGAAGGAGAGCCGGCCCGGGAGGCAAGTCGGGGCCGTTCTGTGGTGTCTTAATGCCATTGCAGAGCTTGTGTTTTCTTCAGTAGCAGGTGGAGTCCCGTGAAAGTTTTGATGGGGGCATCACAAGGTCAGGGCTGTCTCTGCAGTGGTCTAAGAGGGGAACTGAGGGGAAGAGAGAGCGCCAGGGGCCAAGGTAGGAGGCCTCTGTGTGAGCAGTAGGGAGGCTGCGTCCTCAGGGAGACTCACGGAGGGGAGAGGAAACGTGTGGGCCAGAGAGTTGTGGGCCTGGGAGGAATAAAAAATGACTGACATGTTGGCTGGGAGGAAGGTGGGGTTATTTATAGAAATGGGGAAGTCACAGAGAGAAGGTGCTTTGAGGGGGTTGGGGAGGGGACGGAAAGGAGATTTGACTTTGAACCTGGTGAAGTCAGTCACTGGCTGGACTTCCAGGTGGCCGTAGTGAAGAGCCAGAGCTCCCTGAAACCCTAAAACCTCATCTTGAATGTTCAGCTTCCTAATTCTCCTCCGAGGTGCTGAGCTCCCAGATTGGCCTGAGATTTTGTGCCTCCCAGTGGCACCAGAACCTTGACGTCCTGGGAGCTGTGGGGCCCAGTCAGCAGCTGGTGCTGAGGGTCAAAGGCAGTCCAGGTCCCAGATGTGGCCCCTCAGACCCTCAGGGAGGTTACAGAGGGGTGTTTCTGCAAGGCCTGCTCCCTCTGGTTTTCCCAGGGGAGAGCTTGCCCACCCCTCCTCAGGAGCCTGGAGGCTGGCCTCAGGGCCAGGGTAGGGTGGGGGCGGCACTTCGGCTCACAGGCCGTGGCCAGGACCCTGCCTGGACGAGGGAAGAGACGGCTTCCTCCTGCTCGCTCTACCTCTGCCTGAGCGGGAAAGAAAAGGCGCCGTTACCCTGACTGACGACTCCTGATTCCTTCTTGGAGCAATTCTTGGAGGGAAAAACCTTCTGAACCCAAATATTGGATTTGGGTTCATCCCAATTCTTAGTGAGAAGGTAGGGCTCTGGGAAGAGGCAAATTATAATATAAATAAGGTTAGTTTGTTCCTTCTTTTTTTTTCATCTAATAAATACATATCTAGTGTCTACTCTGGGTCAAATAAAAGATAGATAAGCTAAAGACCCCACCCCTGAGGAGCTAAGAGTTGGGGGTACAGATGCACAAATGGGTAAAGACAGTAGAGGAGGGGCCCACGCCCCAGGTTCAGGGGAATCAGGATGTCCTCACAGAGAGAGCGCATCTCAGCTGAGACAGGAGGTGAGCAGGAAACTGCCCGTGAAGGGGGAAGGGAGGCTGTCCTCTGGAGTGGGCACAGCAGGAGCAGCCCCAGAGAGTCTCATTTCGCGGGTCTGGAGATGGGCCTGGGCGCTGGCATTCTAAAACCTCCCCAGGTGATTCTAACCTGCAGTCGGGGCTGAGGGCCACTGACCCACCACCTGATCTGTCTGCAGACCAGCATGGGAATGCTGTCGCCTCCTCTCCCAGCTGGACTGGATTCTTCCTGCAACCACCGGCCTTCGCTCCCATAGGAGAGGAAACACAATTCTCTTTCCTCTGCCTGGAAAGAGGCACGCCTTAGGTGCATTGCCTGGGGCCCTGCAAATTAGACCGACAAAGACAGGTTAACAAGAGGAAAACAAATGGAAGCTTATTAGGCCTTGTGCATACACTGGGAACCCTCAGTAGTGAGTAACCCAAAGGGTGCGTAGCCCTTGGATTTACATAGCGTTGTAACAAAAGAACAAGGCCTTTGTAGAGAAGTAACAAGACAAAGGGAAAGGGTTGTCAGCTTCCAAAGGTGGCAAACTGTGGGAAGGTAAATATACGGGAAACTTATGGAAGATAAGGGCAGGTTAGTGGACTTTGTGATGGAGATATCTCTGGTGCCGTCTCTGGGTTGATAAAGGTCTAGAGGTGTCTATGGTGATTGACTTCTGACCTTCCTGGTAGAAAAGAGAGGTACAAATTTATGTTCTGCTTTTAGGCAAATGAAGGGAGGGCAGAGAGCTTTTCTTGTGTTTTCTTCTCAATTGTTTTCAGCTTAAAATCATCCTTATGCTGAAGTGCTATATTTTGGGGTGGTGTATTTGGGGTGGTTTATTTGGGGTGTACACAGCAGGTGCTCAGAGAAGACAAAGCTGAGTCCACTGAGTGTAGCCCAGGCAAAGGTGACAGCAATGGCCTCACTGCCGTTGGACACACAATTTGGGCTGCTCTCTTAGTTGTAAAAGAGGAAATTGTGGTTCCCCCAGGAGATGCGAAACTTGTCAAAGGTCACTGTACAGATGACAGAGCTGGCATTTAAGTCTCCGTTTGGGGAATGCTGCCTCCATGTTGTCTGGCTTCATGTTGCCAAGGGTGGGCTTTTGTAGGGGAGGAACTGGGGAAGCTGCTGCGTTATCCCTGCCTCTCCCCTGCCACCTCAAGTGTCCTTGTGCCTCCAGCTATTTCCTCCCATTTGCCTGATTTTATTAGAGGCAATTTCTCCTTGGCTTTCACCGTTGATGGCTCCGAGAGTCCACTGACAATTGCAGAGACTCTCAGGAACGGGCAGGCTTTATCTGCATCCCTGCCAGGAGCCAGTTTCTTCAGGGCCTTACGCTCCTGGCCTGGGAGCCTGGAGGTGGCATTCCTTGCAGGAGGGGGCCGCCAGGGACAGGGAGGAACAGGGTTGCTGGCGGTGTGTTTCTGCCGTGTGTCCCTGGACTTCTGGGTTTGCGTGGCAGCAGCTCAGCCTGAGGCTAAGGGCGAGGGAGACAAGCCTGGGCATGTCTGGTGGGGCAGGCTGGCCAGGAGCCTGACTGTATTAAGAATGCAGAGATCCTTGGGAACCTCCACTGGACCAGAGGCATGGTAAACTCGGCCTGGAAAGAACACCTTAGTCAGGGAGAGGGGAGGGAAGGTCTGCTCTGGGGGAGCAGGGATGGGCACTGATGATGATGATGGTGAGGGTGGTGGTAGATATAGGTGGGTACCATTTATTGAGCACTTCCTAGAGGCTGGGCACTGTGCTTTGTATTAGGTCATTTCATCCTTAGAAAATACTTTGAAGTGAGGCTTACTCTGGCTTTCAGATTTTACATTTTGCAGATTATGGATGAGGAAAATCATATCTCCAGTCACCAGGGGAGCCTTCATCTGTCTGAGCTCCTGAACACTGTCCCCTCTGGAAACCTCCTCAAGAGCCCTCCTAGAGACATCAAGAAATACTGGAGAGCCTAGGGCAGGTGTGGCTCGGAACCAGCCCAACGTGGGTTCCTCTTGCTCCCCTGTCTCAGACTGGCAGGGTATGGGAAATCATTTACGGGTCTTTAAAAGCAGAATTGTTTTCACCCTCGGCTGTGAAATAATATACTTTCTTTAGTCTTTGCTCATAAGGTGGTATGGCCCTCTTTAAAAGACTCTTTAAAAATGCTTCCTGCTGTGACTCCTCTGGGCCATTCTACTATGAACTGGCACCAATACTAACAGTTTAAACCCTTCTGGGCAAAACTACAGAAGAAGATAAATCCTGGAGTGTCACAGTTGGCCACAAGCTGAGTGTGAGTGAGCAGCAGAGATACGGATTGGTGAGCAAGGCTGATCTGTGGCAGTGTGATGTGCATTACTCTCCCTCAGGGGGGCAACTTCCTACTTCCTCATGAGTTGTGCTCCCCGGATCTATTTGTACGTCAGTTTCAGGAACTCAAGACCCCTTCCCTCACAGAATTATTGTTACACAAGGAGGTAAAGTTCTGAAGCTAGCCTAGAAAGGCTCTCCTAGAGCTCGAAACCTCCTATATATGATGAAACAACAGGAGAAAGCAATTTTCAGCTGGGATGTGTAGTTAATTTCCACCATTCCTTTGTTATGACCGGGAAATGCCCCTTCGGATGCTTTATGAGGGACGCAATGACGTCATGGCCAGAAGCACAGCTTCTTTCAATTTTCAGATGGTTAGTATTTGATGCGCCTCGGCCTCTTCCTACCCCCATCTCTACTGGATCTTTCTAAAGGCTTTCAGTGCACCCTCAAATCAACTGCATGCACATGTGCGTGCGTGCATGAGCATGTGCCTGCCCACGGGTGTGGCAGGTCGCCTCGCACAGGCCCGGGGCTCTGACACACGCGTCCCCCTCCTTCCTACAGGCTGTCTCTGACTTCCAGCGTGACATGCTGCTTCATGCACTTTCCTAAAGTCCTACAACAACAATGTGACAAAGGTCAGTCCTACCCCCAGTGTAGCGCTCCCTCCAAATTGTATCTCCATCTTTCCTGCATCTTCATTCCCAGCACCCTGGTCCCCGTTTCTCAGAGAGACAAGGGCGATAGCCCTTCTTTATTTCCCACTGCCTCCCTTGCCCCAATCCCCACTTCCGTTTTCCACACAGCAGTCAGAGCGATCTTTGAAAATTGTCATCAGTTCACGTCACCTCCCAGCGCGCAGAGTGAAACCCAGCTCCTGCCCTGACCCTGCGCAGCCTCCCCACCTCCGGCTTCCTTTCTTTTCTCGGCCACCACACACCCCCGGATTGCTGGCAGACACCAGGCTCGCCCCAAGGCTCTGGGCTTACGCTCTGGCTTTCCCCTCCGCCTGCCTCTTCTCAATCTGGCAGGTGTCAATATAAACATTAGCCCCCTTCTCAGAGAAGTCTGCCTTGATCCAGTCCTAAAGGGCCTCCTTCTGTGCCCTTACCCGATCCCGTCTACTTCCTGCAAAGAGCGCACGGTCTGTGGTGCTCATTTGCTTACGTGTGTCCATGTACACTGCATTCCCCTCACCAGAACGTCATTTTGAGAGCCCAGCTTTGTCCAGCCTGTGGGTCACCATCACTGCAGCTCCCGGAACAATGTCTGATGGTAAAGTTGTTCATAAGTGTTTGCTGAATGAATGAATGAATGCATGAATCTAGAGTGCTTCAGAGAGAGCAAATGAAAAAATGTGCCCATAACAGGGAAATTTTACAGAGTGTGAAGGGATTTGGGGAGATGGACGCTGTGTAAACCCACAGAATCCCGGTCACTTGGGACTGGCTCAGCGTCGAGGTCGAGGCAGAGTTGTACGAGGCCTTAGTGGTTGGAAGGCGTCTGCTGAGTTGGGCAAGGAGGAGGTTTAGAAGGGTCAGTGTGGGACTGGAGTGGTGTAGGGGCTGATGCTTCCAGGAGGGTCACAGGGGAGGTACAGTGGCCTCTGGTTAGGACCTTGTTGCATGTCTGTTTATAACAAATCGGGTATGTGGTTTACACAAACCACAAGCCCCACTTTCGCATCTGTATTAAGTCGATTAAGAGTGGTATGGCGGGGGTGAAAATAATCACACTTTAATTGGTTTTAAATATGCGAATACCTGCACTGAAAGCACAGTGGTGTGAGCAGATTTGTGAGCACACCTTTGCGGGGTGTGACCTTTATGCCACAAGGTAGGATGACTGATGAGTAAGGCAGACACCACATGGATAACTTAGGGATGTGGTTATGAAGAGTCAAGTACAGATCTGGGAGAAGAGAGTTTGGGATGCGTGAAGAATTTGGTGGTGAGGAGAGCAGAATGTGTGAGGATGGAAGGCACAGGAGGTAAGTTCTTTTAGATGTGTGTCTTGGGCCAGGAGAGAGTAATGGGGTATTATTTTTGAGATATTAGAAAAATGGATTTTCAGTCTCAGTAATCCAGATGCTCCTTCCCACTGAGTCAGTGGGTTTGTGGCTTCAGGGGAGACTCACACATCCTAGGATAGAGAAGCCTTTCTCCGCTTTGCATTTTGAATTATAAGAATATGAAACGTCCCTAGGAAGTGAATAATCAATCATCCTGAAAGCCTAGTTGTTGAGAGGGAGGAGGTTTTCTACTTTCCAAGAAGATCCCTTTTCTGGGAACACAGCATATCTAGGGCACAGCGTGGGGATCTAAGCGTAGGGTGATGGGTTAACCTGGGGTGCAGAGAACAGAGGGTTCAACACAAAGGAAGCGCCGGCTGCACAGGAAGAAAGAAAAACCCATCTGGTGCTGGGAGAAGCTTGGAGAAGCTTGGAGTGAGACTCAGAGGCCTGAGGACACAGGGCGAGATGCCATGTGCCCCCCCAACCCCACCACGGACTCCACGTGGAGTGCGCCAAGTGGTAGAATCAGCCCAGATCGGGGGACAGGAAGTAGGAAGGAGCGGGGCTTACGCCCACTTCACTTCTGGCTCCCCGAGGGGAGACTCCCTTGCAGGTTTCTGTACAGGGCAGTCCCGGCGTGGTGGAAGTACTGTTGTGTTGTGTTTCAGCAGACAGAGGCCCTTGGCTCTGTAAGCCATGCATGAGGGGCTTTCCAGAACCTCCCAGATGACCCCTCGGGGTGCATCAGGATGCTGGGAATTAGCAGCGTCGCCCCAGTGAGGGGTGACTAGGTCAGCAGGACTTCTTGGTAACCAGAGCTGGGGCCAGAGGGAGGAGTGGCTGAGCCCTAGTGGGTCTGTGGTGCCAGGGAGCACAGAGCAGGGGGGCCAAGCAGCAGGGAGATGGCCAGACTGCCCGGGGTACTTGCTGGTCCAGCCTACATGGAGAGAACAGACCATGAGCATCCCAGAGCCAGCTGGACAAGGGGCTGGCTTCGGGACAGCACATGGGAAAGGCACTTAAGGGTTTTCAATTACGATAAGATCAAAGTGAGTCCCCAGCGTGCAATATTCCTACCCGTGAGAAAAATGAAAGGGTTATCTAGTCTGGTCCCAGTCTTCTCTGGGTGGGTCAGCGCACTTCTGGAGCATGGTAGTCACGCCGTGTCCCACAGTTAGACTGAACAGACAGAGCAGACCCCTTCCTGGGAGAGTGGTGAGAAACGGCCCCATGAGAGGAGTTTGCAAGGAACTGAGAACATGTAGTCCAGAGAAAGACAATTCAGAAGTGACTCACTGCTTAGCTCCTCCATGTTCCCAAGGGCAGCCTTGATGTATGGACACTACAGGGAGAGAGATTCTAGCTCTCAACTCCAAAGAACTATCTAGTGATTCTCAGCTGGCGCGGGCTGAATCAGGGCATGATGCCCTTCCCGGAGCTGATCTAACCAAGCAGAAGCCAGGACATCATGTAGAGAGTCAGACACTTGTCTGGGTCATAGGCCTGGACAGCCTTCAGATGGCTTCCAACCTTAAGATGCGGTGGATTGCTGAATGAAGTTCTAATTTTATCATTTCTGACTCAGAAGTGATTCTTGCTTGGAGCTGGAGTATCTGAGTGGAAGGACCGCAGCTGCTTGGCATCAGACAGACCTGGCTTCCAAGACTGGTTCTGCTGCTCCCTATGTGACCCTGGAGAATTTCCTTCACCTTTCTGAATCTCAGTTTTCTCATCTATAAGATGGCCATACTTACCTGGCAGGGCTTGGTTGGCGTTGGGTGAAACAATGTAATAAAAGATGAAAAAAAGATCAAAGCAGATTGTGTGCAGGGGTGTGTGTGTATTAGTGTGAGCAGGGAGAATACAGGACCTTGGCAGTGCTATAATATCGCATTACTGCCTACCAGCTAATTTTCTTCTTCATAAAACCAGCTTACAGAGCATCAGGTTTAATGACAGATGAAACAGACTCTGATGTGGTGTGATTCTGGCTAGAATCCTCTTAACGGGGAAGGGAAGGGCTGGACATGGGGATGACAGGGGCACCTGTGACTCTCCTGGGGAAGGGGTGAGAGAAAGTCATCCTCTGAGGACTACGGACAGACACCCTGTGGCCCTGTTCCTGGGTCTCTGGCTACGGATGAGTATGGCTGTGCAGGTGCCCACCGTCCTTTGAGAAAGGAGTGGGCCTGGACAAGACCCCCATGGCTGTCTGTGGTGTGGCACCATCTGTGGCAGCCTACAGTTGTGACGTGGGCGCAGGGTGTCTTTGAACCTTCCCAAGTCAGCTTGCTGCTCTGACTCCCCGCCAGCCCCAATGCCAGCGCCCTCTTTCTTAATCCCTCCTAATTCCTCTGTCACAATGTTTCCCCTTAGAAACAGTTCAGCTTGTTCACAGGAGCTATAAGGGCCAGACAAAGCTAAACGTACTCCCTCTCCCAGGGACACTGCACTTCAACCCCAAACCAGGTGTCAGTCTCCACCGGGGGCCCCTCTTCCCTGGCCTGAGAGCGCGGGCAGGATTGGGTACAGCCGGCAGTGCCCAGTGGGTCTTATTGCAGAGCTGCCCTATTCTTGGTGAAGAAACCAAAGCTTTGCCTGGGGGAGGGGAAGCACCCCCACTCTGCCTGGTTGGAGGAAGTGAGTGGGTCCTGCTTCAGGCCCGAAGCTGACTCAGTGGTTCCTGGAAGGTGGTGATGTCACGGTGACATAGCGGTTTCCCTCCGCAGCCAGATCAGTAGGAGAGTGAGTGACGATTCAAGTGTGTCTCATGGGCACCGAGGCTGAGGCTCTCTTCGAAGTGACCAAGTCCTCTGGACTTTGCAGGCCACCTACTGCCGCCTACCTCGGTAGCTCCCTTCTCCAAATTCCCACAGCCTGGATCATCTGTCCCATCAGTGACCCCATGTTCGGGGCAGTCTTGATTGATGTTGTGCATTCTGCCCCTTTGTGTTTCCATGTAAACACATTCACAAATCACAGAGAAGCATCCTAGGTCTGAGCACGCCTCCTGGGGTTTTGGAAACATGGAGCCACCACTCTGGGTCAGAAATACAGCACAGGACCATGGTGTCCTTGTGTCTCTCTCCAGTTTCACATCTGCATGTCTCTTCAACAATATTAATAGCTCGTAAGAGCTGGGAGCTGAGTCCCTTTATTTCTTTTGTCTTCTCCAGGACTCCCCCTCGGGGCTGAGGCTGCAGGAAACTAAAAACGCTTGGCAGGGCGGGAAGGGTGGTAAGCTCCCCATCTCGTCCTTGTCAGGCGCTTTCTCCATTTACCGCGGGGAGGGGAGGAGGCATCTGCAGCAAAGACCCTATGGGTAGGTAAGAAAGCCATGTCTTGCACCCTCCTGGCCAGATCAGATCAGCGCTAAATGGAAAGGTAACGTAGGCAGTCCTGGTGTGGGCTTGGGAAAAACCCGGCTGGACTTGTCGAGGCCGGGGGTGCTTTCACAAACCACTCCCCGCTCCGCTGTTCATCAGAGACCCCGCTCCCTGGGAGGCCACGTGTGAGACCCATGTGGAGTACCCCAGGTCCTTTGTCAACTGGAGTCTGAGTTCAGTCGCCACCTCCCCTGGGCTTCCCAGAGCCGCTCCAGCGTTTTACAAGGGAGCCTCCGCGTGGCCTTACGCTGCCTGATGCTGCCCCCTGCAGGTGGCTTGGGGACACAGCCCTCACCACCGGGTTTGCGGCTCTGAGCCTGTGCTGCCCGAATGGTGGCTTTTCATCACCTAAAGCTGTCACAGCAGCTAATAGCCCATGAACGTGGAGAAAAGTAAGCCTCTCCAAGTGCATGGGGTGTTGAAAGACACTGAGATAAATGGTGGAGGTAGTGAGAATGACAGATAGAGCCTTATTTACTGCAGCCATCTCATTTAAATCAAAGCTCACAACAACCCCCGGGGAGAGGCAGGTGTTCCCAGGCCATGTTTAATGAATGATGGAATGGAGCCATTGAAAGGTTAAATAATATGCCCAAGGCTACATACGCAGTAAATGCTGGAGCTGGAATTTGAACTCAGTGACCCCAGAGCTTTGTCACATCTGCTCTGCCATCATCCCATCCAGGAGAAAGATCCCTTTACTTATGCTGTGAACCAGATTCTTTGGGGTGAAGGTGAAATTTCAACAGCATTCTCTTCACTATGCGAGAGTTTTAGGTGTAGCCTCCATGATGTGATTCCAGAGATGCTGGGAAGATCCCCCTACCTGGAAATATGCCCCCAGCTTGCCAATCCCATTGCCTAGAATTTCACTAGAGGAAAGCCATTCCTTGGATTAAACATTAGCTCAGTGGTACTCTCTTGGAAAGTCACTTGTTAACCCTTACGTGGTAATTCTACCTTAGCAGGGATTAGGGTTTCTAATTGCTTTATCCCTGTGATAGAGAATTAAGGGTGTGGGGTAAGTGGAGGACTGGGGTGTCTCTGATTGTGTTCCTGGATGTCACAGAGACTCCCCAAACTGAAAACGACCCAAACTAAACAATTCATCGTCAATTCCGGCCCAGAAATCTTTAAGTTATCCTTCATTCCTCCTTCTAACTGGTCATGAAGTCCCACCTGACCTACCTCTAAAGTGATGCTTGAATCTTTCCCATGCACACCTCCAGTCTCTGATCCTCTCAGGCCCTTATCAACTTGTCCCTGGCTTCTTTCTAGCTCTGGGCCTTCCCTGTTCAATCAAACCCCAGGGCAGCAGCATAAGAGGACTTTGTAGACTTTCGTTGTCAACCTGATAACGCTACATCTCCTCTTAGGGTCCTCCTCATTGCTTACGGAGTGCAGACAACTGATTATTTTATTACAGGTCCCTGAGGACCTCATTGCTACCCCTCTTGCTGGCTCCAGCTTTGTCTCCCCTTTGTACCTCCCTCCCTCACCTTCCTCCATCCCATTTCCCAGCCTCATTAGTGGAGAGTTTTTCTTTGTTATCTCGAATGTTCCTTCATATCTCCGTGCTTTTGCCCATGTGTTGTTTTTGTCATAAAAGCCCTTCCCTTCAGTGGTCAGTTGATGACTCCTTGGTGAAGCCATTCCTGATTCTCTCCTCCGTCCCCCGAGAAGGAGGTAAATTTTTAAGTCTCTGTCTCCCCCACTAAGCCTGGATGCATAAATGAATGAATGAATGGATGGACGAGTAAATGAAGTCAGATGATCAGCAGGCTATCCATTTCACAGGATGTGTGCTGTTTTTGAAATGAATGCAGACCACACCGTGGCTGCATTTACAAACGTTGCTGTGATGCACCGGCTGTGTATGTGTGTGCACTGGTGAGATACGCTGGCTCTGTTGTGATACATAATTTGATGGGCCTTGAACTTACTCACACAAGCAGAATAGTTTCAGAACATTGCCATAGAGACGAATGAGGATTCAAGCAGCAGGGTACCACTTAGGCAGTGACAGATTTTACAGAAAATGGGTTTAGCCACACCTTTCTTGTCAAAAAATCTCCTAGCTAATAGGAAGAGTGCTTCAAGGCAGAATAAAACCTTGCACCCCTGATGAACAAAAAAGCCCCTGAAGTTAGGAAAACAGGAAGTAATAGGTCAAGAAGAAGAGAAATTCTTAGGGATAGACTGAAAGACACATGGAGAAAGAGGATGTTGGAGCCCTGACGTGATGTTGGAGTTCCAAATGTTATCAGAAAATGAGCAGAGGATGAAGATGTTTCAAATATATCATTACATTAAAGAATATGAAGAGGGAATCCTGTTGTGCAAAGTGATGAAATATCACAAGTAATATGTGGGGCCAGAGAAAAGCGGACCCTCGGACCTTGGCAAAGTGTTAATCATTTATTACAGAACTCTAATTGAAGTTCTGATTCTAATCTGCAGAGAATAACCTTCCCTGTCTGGTGACAACCTGTTCTTTCAAGGGCCAGTTCAGACGGCACCACCCTGTGAATGAAGCCTTTCCTGACTCTGCAAACAGGGTGGGCCATGTCCCCTTCCCTCCGCTCACTGCATCCATCAGCGATCGATCCCGGTTGTTCTCATGTCAGCCTCGGCTGGACCGTGACCCGCGTGAGGAGAGCACCCTTGTCTGGCCATCTTTATACCCTGACACCCAGTGTGGTGTTTGGCATGGAGCCGTATTAGGAGCTGCACTGTGCCTCCCAGCATTCATCTGTGGAAGCTCAACCCTCCAGCGAGCTGTGCACTTGTGCACCAACAGGCGCACCATCAAAGCACCTCCACCTGGCAGCCCCCTCTCCCTGTCAGTATCCATGATGACTCTTCCATGCCACAAAGGGGAGGGAAAGAAGAAGAGAGGGAAGAGGAAGAAAGAAGATGGATGTGCAGATTGTTTTAATTAATAGCTAAAAGGAAGGAGAAGGAGATGTCCTTTCACCTAACCAGCATGTGCTTATCTATAATAAGAAAGTATAGATGAATGCACGGCATGCATGAATTGGTAATTAATATTGTTTTAATAAAGTATCCAATTATTTATGTTTAAAATATAATGCACTGCTAATGTCCCTCTCTTCACAAATGCCATAAAAGCTTGTAAGTAGGAGGAGTAGGGTGGGAAATATAAAATAGCAGTGATAGGGTGAAAGAAATGTTTAGATAATAATTCACAGTTGGGTACATGCCTCAGGAACACGTCTCAGAATTTTGCAGACAAAGTTTGAAAAAAAAAACCATCCTCTGAAGTTGAAGCCAACAAAAATCAGCCTCTAATGAATGAGATTAACCACTTGTGGGTGGAACCATCCTGAAAGATGACTTGTGATTGAGTACTGGATACAACCAAAGTGCTTTCCCTGCTTCCATCAAGGAGGCTGGAGAGCCTTCCAAAACCTACCTGTGCAGTCATTCATTCATTCAATGCTAGTCATGTTAGTGTCCACCAGGTTTTTCCCCAGCAAAGTTATCATCTCTCTCTTTGAAATTTATATTTTAGTCTCTTAAGCATTGGAGGGATATGATGGGGAGAAAACACTATCCTCAGACTCAAAAAGTTCAGTCTAGCTGGAGGGAGAGACCAGAAACCAGGCCATTTCAATCCATGTGCTAAATGCCTTGAAAAGAGGAAGCACCCAGCCCTGACTGGGTGGAGTGTATGTGGACAGGATTCCCTGGAGAGGTGGCATCTAAGCTGAGGCCTCAAGGACGAGTGGGAGTTAGCCAAGAGAATCAGCTTAGGAGGAAGGCAGAGAGCAGAGAATACTACAGGAGGAGTGGCAGCGTGTTCTAAGGTCTGGAAAAGTGAGAGAGCACGGAGCACTCAGGGAGTGAGTGGCAATGTCGCTGGAACGGCCCATTGGAAGGGGTTTGGGAGGATGTGAGACTGGAGACGTTTGCAGGCCTGGATCATCAGAGGTCTTGGATGTCATAGTTAGGCATTTGGACGTCATCCTAGGGAGAGTAACACATCCCTTGAGTGCTTTAGGCAAATGTGTGACATGATCATAGTCCCATTTTAGAAAGCCCTTCATGCTGTGTACAGTGTGTTGGCCAAACTCAAGGTTAAGGGCACTGTCTCCACAAGCCTGCCCTCACTTCAGACCCCACCTCCAAGTTTGGGGGCCCCCAGGATCACCTTCTCTTCAGAGCAGCTGGCTGTGAGTTCAGGTGTTCCCATGACTATCCCCAGAGTTGATAATTTGCTAGAACAATTCATGGAATTCAGGGAAGTGTTATACTTGGAAGTGGAGTTTTATTATAATAAAAATATACAAACTAGAATCAAAGATACAATGAATCAGTAGGATGGAACTTGAGAAGGTTCCAAACAAGAAGCTCCAATGTCGTCAGGATGCATGTCCTCAGATGTCCCAGCATCTCCATGCGACCACATACATGAGTCTTGCAACCCGGGAAGTTTACCCAGGCTTCAGTGTCCAGAGATCTTACTGAGGCTTCTTTACCCAGGCACGGTTGATTGGATAACTGTGCCCACATGGTTGAACTCTTCCCCAGGCCCCCTCCCCTCTCTGTGGGTCAGGCAGATACATTGTGGCCCAAACCCCAGCCACAGTCATGGGTTGATCTTTTGGCAAGGCCAGCCCCCACCCTGCCTCATCTCATTAGCATAAATGAGGGGCCCACCTGGAATAACACAGGTTCTTCTCTCAGAGCAGAAACTGCCTAGTTTAAAGGTTACCTTCCAGGAGCCCAGACAAGGGCCTGATCTCTCTCTGGGGGAGGCCACATTTCGTACTACACACTGCGGTACGGCAGTTAGACCGACTGAGAGCAAGTCTGGAAGCAGGGGAACCAATTAGGTGGTTGTTGCAGAAATCCAAGAAGAAGACACGGTGGCCTAGACCAAGGAATGGCAGAGGGGCTAAAAAGACGCAGAGAGAGTTCAGATGAGTTCAGGATAGGTCAGGACCTGGTGGTTGACTGGATAAGGGGCCTAAAGGATGGCAGGCAGTGGTCTGGCCTGGACAATAGCTGGTTTAGGCCTGCTGTATGCGAATAGCACACATTGCTGAATTGGGAAAAATACTACGGAGTGGAAGCAGGGGCTTAAATATTTAAAACTGTGAAATGTAGTCAAAATTTTTACAATGATACAGACTTTAGAAGTCATTTTGTCCCATGATACTGGCAAGCAATATAAGGTCTGTGTATTTTCAAAGAATTTGCCAGCCATTCTGGGCAGCCTCCTCTCAAGTAGAGGGCCACAGCCTTGGAACGAGAGCCCTATGACTGGTCACAGACAGCCCACGTCTGTTCTGGGAGCCAGATTTAAGGGAGGTCTTAGCAGTGCCTGGTAACAGAAGCAAGAACGTGGGCTCTGAAGCAGGTAGAACTTGGTTTGAATTCTGTCTCTGCTGTGTGACTTTAGGCATAAAACTTAACCTCTCTGAGCTTCTCTGAGCTATGGCTTTCTTATCTGTAAAACAGGAATGATAACACCACATGATACTGTTGTCAGGATCAGAGAAGATGTTGTACTTCCACGGGTACCAGCCCCACACCTTGCCTTATTGACAGTAACATTTGAGATCTTTTCTCTCAGACCATCCTGATTGCATCAGATACTACCAGGCCTGGTGCCCACTTACCAACGATATTTATTTCTTCTGCAAGCCTGCTCTGGCCTCCAGAACCCAGAGGAAACTCTATTCCAAACTCTACCCCATCACCTGCATGGACCATATCCTGCTTTGCTGAGTGAGCTTTCTATTTCTGTCTCTGCAATTTACTTCTTCTGAAGGGGCAAAACCCACAAAGGGACCAGCAAGACCTCCCAGGCAGGGCCATTGCCTTCCCGCTTTCGCGCTCCTGTAAAACAGCTTGCTTCTAGGAAAACGAAACTTACCCCTAAAATTCCATTGGTTCCCAAAAGCTCACTCCCGATTGGTCCATTTCTAACACCTCATTTGCACAAACTTAATCAAAACCTAAAACCCTGTAAAAGCCTGTGTAAACTCTGTAGAGGCGGGGTCCAGAGCTTGGAGTGTTAACTCCTCTGGGCTCGCCGGCGCAATAAACCTGAGCTCTCCAACCCTCCGAGTGCTGCTTGGTCTCTCAACGGGATTCAGGTTTCTGTAACATTTCTGGAGGCCCCAGCGAGATTTGATCTCGACCCCTGGTTTACAACCCTCCGAATGTTGCTTGGTCTCTCGACAGGATTCAGGTTTCTGTAAAACTTCAGTGAGACTGTAATCTCTTTCAGAGCAGAGACTTTCATGTTTTTTCATGTTCCATTTTGGAATCTTAGCACAGTGCCTTTTTGCCCATAGCACCTGCTCAAAAAATAGAGATCAGCTGGTAGTTCACCTACTTTGTCTCCTAAAAATTGCTCCAGAGTCATGGTCTGAACTCAGCCCACATAAGATCGTTACTACAAAGTAACACATTAATTCATTTATCTGTTTGTCCAGCTGCCTACATTGACACACATCAAAATGAAGGCATTGCCTCACATAGGGAGGTTTTTTGAAGGATTCCAAGGAGTCAGTCACCTCTCAAAGCACTTGTGGAATTCCTGCTTTGAATCAGGAGGTGAATCTTCACACCTCCTGGGAGGAGTTATTTTTGGAAACAGGGGAAGTCATCTTGGCCAAATGTGTTAAGTGTGGCTGTTCCGGGTTGGGGTGGGTGGGTGTGGACAAGAAGGCATGGTAGACTGATGATCAGGAAATATGTAATTGGGCATTTCCAGTCTGTCAAGCACTTTACATTCACTGTTTTATTGTAATCTCAATATCATCTCCATGAGGCAATTGCTATTATTAACCCCATTTTACAGACAAGAGCCCGAGACGTAAAGAATGCCAAACACACTCTATGTAAGGGACTCCACTGCTTTTGTTTTGTGTTACTAAGCTAGTGTTTGGGGGCCAGAAAGGGGGCAAGACAGAACTCGAGTGACCCTTTGGCACCCCAGCAGACATGAGGGATGTGGACGCCTTATCTAAAGACACCAAAGCCAAGAACTGTGACATCTGAACTGGTAGAGGGCAGGGAGGGTATGAGGAACCCAGGAACAGAAAAAACTGGTCCTTTCCTGCAACGCAGGCAAAGGCTAGCACAGAGGAGGGCTCCCCAGAGAGAGAGAGACCAGAGGAGGGGGGAGGGGACTGGTCCATGACTGGGGGACCATGAACAGGGTGAAGATTCCCAGCTGAAGGATTTCCTTCTGTGTCTTTCTTTTTTTAGTTTCTTAAAATTGTATTCATGTTTACCGACTATAAAAAGAGGTTAAGTTCACCATAGAAAATTTGGAACATAGAAGTATAAAAAAAATTTAAATGACCTTTACACGACCTGAGATCTCAGGCCTTGCTGAGACAAGGCTGCTGAGCAGATCTGTGCACATGGGGTTCTTTATAAGCTCCCTCCTTCCCACCCACCGGCTCCCCTCTCTGCCTCAGCTAGAGAGGGGCCTTCAGCCAGGACATTCCCTTGCAGACTACTCAGGCTGCTATATAAAGCCCTGCCCTTCTAGGGGCTGGATCGGGATGTTCTTTATCTCTTTGCAGCAGGGTTCTGATAATCTGCCCAGTTGGTAGACGCCTGGAGATGTGCCAGCGGGCTCTGGCTGCTGCTACCAGGGCCTCCAGTCCCCATGGGGTCGTCTTCTCTGGTTCCCACAGAGACTTGGCCGACAACACTAACCAGAACCCTCCATATAGGAAATCGTTTGTTCATGTCATTAGAGGACAGCTGCCCGGCAGCCAAGAGGAAACTGATGGGCCTGGCACGGGTGATGAGTGTGTCCGGCCCTTGCAGGCTCTGTGGTCTGTGCCCCCTGCTGAAGCAGCCATGCCTGTCCCCGACTCTCTCGGCCCCCACCCTGACTTCCCTCCCCTTTCTCTTCCTTATTGCTTGGCTCAGAGTCTTCATGCATATGGCTTCAGCAGGCAAAGGCCTTCCCTGGCTG